TACCATCTATTCCTGGAGCCTTATTTTTTGCTATTTCCTTCAAAGCAGCCTGAACTTCTGCCTTCATCACCATAGGCTCTTGCTCAAATGTTATTTCATTAAATTCTTCTGTATCTGCCAATTCCTTTCAATACAATGACTCAGTATATTCCTTCCATCTTCTTTTGATACCTCCTGGGTCATTTAACATTCTGCCTAAAGCATCCTTGATTGTAGCAACTCGAAGTTTCAATTTGTTCTTCAGTTCCTTGAGCTTAAGAAATGCTGAACAAGTTCTGCCCTTTTGATTTTCCAACACTAGCTCCTCGCACATTTCATTGTAATATTTTGCTTTGTCATTCCGTGCTGCCTTTTGGAATCTTTCTTGATTAGATAGTTAAATATGTCTTAAAGTGCAAAAGTTAAACAAAAAAAGCAAAAAACAAACCAACAACCCACAACAATTGAAGTCTGTTAGGTATGTTCATATTTTTATGACAGATATTAGAAGACAGATTAAAAAGCTCTAATGTATTTGATGTACTTGAAAGTGAAAAAACTAGTTAAACAAAAATAGTAATTAAAACAATATGGGCATTTATAATTAAATCATCATGCTTGGATTCACAATCAATATCTTTGGTACCAATAGTCAGGAGACAAATAGCATTGGGAAAGTCTACTCTCACGGATTCCTCCAAAGTACTGAGAAGCAATGATACCAATTTAAAGACTAATGTGCACCTAATTCACATCTTGTTTTTCTAGTTAAATGCTCCTCATCTGAGAGGTGAGCAATGGAAAAGGATGACAGATAAAGAATTGATGCCTTTGAGTTGTGATATTAGAGAAGATTACTAAATATTCCATGGACTTCCCAAAAAACCCACACACATGTGTCTTGGAGAAAGTGCTTCCAGAGTGCTCCTGGAAGAAAGCATGGTGAAGCTTCATCGCACGTATTTTGGGCAAGTTGCTTGTTTTTGTTATTATTAGCTGCTGTCAAGTCACATACAACTCATGGCCCTATGAAGAAAAGATCTGAACCCTGTTTATCCTGAGCCATCCTCACCCTTCCTGACACGCAAGAGCCCATTGCAACAGTCACTGTGTCAATCCACCTGGTTGAAGGTCTTCTTCTCCTTCGCCGACCCTCCACCCTTCCCAACATAATGTCCTTCTCCAGTGAATAAGGACATGTCCAAAGTATGTGAGGTGAAGCGTCATCATTCTTGCCTCCAAAAATCACTCTGGCTGCTCACTCTCCAAAACATCTGTTTGTTCTCTTGGCCATCTGTGGGATGTTAAGTGCTCTTCTCCAGCATTACAGCTCAAAGGCATCAATTCTTTTTCTGTCATCTTTATTCATTGTTCAACTCTTGATGCATAGCTAGTAATTGGAAAGACTGTGGCATGAATCAGATACACCTTAGTCCTCAAACTGACAGGACTGCTCTTCAATAATTTGGAGAGGTCCCTAACTGTAGATTTTCCCAGTGCAATGTGTCTCCTTATTTCCTGACTGCTGATACCAAGAGTGTTAATTGTGGATCCAAGCAAGATCAAGCTGTTGACCATGCAGGGACTGAAAAACAGAGGAAGAATGGTGTTGCATCCATAGCCAAAAAGTCATGCCTATTATTCAGATATATGCCTCTACATCTAGAGCCAAAGAGAAAGAAATTGAGAATTTTTACCAAATTTTGCAGTCTGAAATTAACTGAACATGCATTCGGGATGTGTTAATGGTAATTGGTGAATCGATTGTGAAAGTAGGAAACAGTGAAGAAGGAACAGTAGTGGAAAATATGGGTTTGGTGATAGAAACAAAGTTGGAAATAGAATTATTGAATTTTGTATTTACAATGATTTATTCATTGCAAATACCTTTTCTACAAGACGACTTTAAACAGAGATTTCACCTTATGGCCTGCATAGCAATCAGATTGACTACATTTGTGGAAGAAATTGTTGTGGGTCAGATCATCATTGATTCATATGCAAATGTAAATTGAGGATGAAAAAATGAAAATATGTCCAGAGGAACCAAGATATGATCTTGAATCAATTCCATCTAAATTTCATGATCATCTTAAGAAAAGGTTTGAGACATTGAACACCAACGATTGAAGACCAGATGAGTTGTGGCATGATATGAACAAAGCAAAAGGTTATTATAAAAACAGAGGAGAAAGAAAAAAAAAATCAAAATGGATGTCAGAAAAGATTGCACTGGAGTGTTGACAAGCCAAATCTGAAGAAAAACTTGTCAAAGTGAAAGAGCCAAACAAACCATTTCAAAGGGCAACGTGGGAGGACAAAGCAAAGTATTATAATGGAATGTGCAGAGAGCTGGAATTGGAGATAAAAAGAAAAGAACTTACTCTGCATTTCTTAAGCTGAAAGGACTAAAAACAAATTTAAGCCTTGTACACAATACTGAAAGACACTATAGGCAATATATTTAATGACCCAGAAAGCATCGAAAGAAGATGGAGGGAATGCATAGAGTCACTGTACCAAAAATAATTGATTGACACTTAAAAATTTCAGTAAGTACTATATGAACAGAAGTCAATGGTAATTAAGGAGGAAATAGAAGCTGCATTGAAGGCATTGGCAAAAAAATTAGGTCCCAGGAATCAATGGGCATATTGCTGGGAGAGCTTATTCCTTGGATAAGGACATCATACTTGGAAAGGTGGAGGATCAGCAAAGGACAGAAATGAATTCATACAGTGACTGCAGCAATGGTCTCAAGTGTGTTGGGTATTGTAAGGATGGCACCGGTTGGACAGGGTTCAGATTTGTTGTTCATAGGGTCGAAATGGGTCCTATGGCACTTGATGGCACCTAAGAATAATAACAAAAATTAAATAATCAATTATGAAAATGTATTGCCTTTATTTTCAATTAAGAAATTACAACTAACAAATAATACTATTGAACATTGACAAATACTTGTTATTTTAGTTCATATTTTTGTCACTAATAATAATCTCTTTTAAAATAGAAACGTCTAATAGTATCTTCATTTCTCTCCTTAGGGAATTGCTCCAAAGATGGAATTTTCTACAACCTCAGTGATTACTGAATGTCTTATAAGTTCAAGAAAGTGCCGCACTCAGGTTAAAAGAAAAAAAAAATTATATAATTGTTTATTTGGTTTCATGTGTGACCACATGGGAAGCACTGCATTTTTATTTTCCATGTGACTCTCTTCATTTTGAGGTTAATTTTTAGTTTAAGTTTTGGAATTATCATACGTATTTTATTTGGTTGAACGTTATACATTTAAGAGTGAGAAACTTAGTGCATTGTTGTTATTTTTCTTACCTCATACCTTTTGTAAAAAAATCACATTTTTTAGCCATTTGTTAATTTTCTCCCCTCCCCCCTTCCCTTTCAGTTAGTAGCCATTTTTCAAATGGTTCTAAGTTGACAGGAAAATTGAATGAAAAGGAAAGAGAGCTCTCTTACATCTTCTCTTCTCCTAGACAAAACAAAACAAACCTGATGCCTTAAACTTGGCTCCAACTTAGCTTTCAGAGTAAAATATGTACACCACAGAATTTTGGAAAGACTATGGAAGTAGATCTCGAGGCCTTTTATTTCTAGAAAAAAGCTTAATGTGTTCAGCCACCAATATTTCAATTAGTAGCTGCATGTAAACCTTTAGCACTATCCAGAGTGTCTCTCCTCCTAAATAGTTTCCCATACTAACATTTTATTTTAGTGTGTGCATTTGTAACAAATGAATGGATGTTGAGACGTTGTCTTGATAAATGCATTGATGTCTAGTTTATATTATTCTCACTCTGTATTGTATAGTCCTTTTTGTTTTGACCACTGCATAATGTATCCACCATCATGATGTAACAAAATTGTTTTGCTGCTCTAAATATCTTTTGTGTTCCAACTATTCATCCCTCACCTCCTTAGCTGGTTATCACTGGCCTTTTTACTATTTCTCTAGTTTTGTCTTTTTCATAATATCATAAAATTAGAATCATCCGATATGTAACTGTTTTGTACTGCTTTCAGTTTAGAAATAATGCATTTAAGATCCTCCATGCCTTTTTAATGGCTCATTTCTTTTCATGTGGAATGATACTGCATTGTATGAATATTCCACAGTTGGTCTATTCACTTATTGAAAGGTATCTTGGTTTCATTCAAACTTTGGCAAGTATTAATAAAACTACTGTAAAAAATCCTTATGTACATTTTTGTGTAGATGTATTTTCAGTTCATCTGAATAAAGACCTGATAGCTAGATTTAGGAGTATGCTTAGTTTTGTGAGAAGCTCTACCTCCCTATCTCCTTTCTTTAATGTGAAGATATCATGCTGCCTTAAAGATGTTGAAATGAAGCATTTCAAACATATACTAGGATGGAGGTTAATATAACAATACAAAACCAAATCCACTATTTATAATTTGATTCATAAAGACCCTATAAATATTTGTGAAATAAGACTGCCTGTTTTTCTCCCATGCCATGACTTGTTATGTGCCAATGAATTGGAACTCACTCATAGCTGATTCGCGAATGGATTTCCAGGGATTGTAAATTGCACAGGAGACCATTTCCCAACTTTTTCCCATGGAGTAACTGGTGTTTTTGAACCATGAGCTTTTAGATTGATTGCACAGTACCTCACCACCAAGCCACCAGAGTGACCAGCGAATTTAAACCAGAGACCTTTTGATTAGCAGCTCAATACATTATACACTCTGCTACCAGGGCTTTATATAAATTTTATAGAGGTTGATGTTTATTGCAAAATGTGTTTATTGTAGTGTGTTGAATCCATTCTTAATTAAACAGAGGAGAGCTGGCCTGTAGGGTTTTCTAAGCTATAATCTTTACCAGAGCAGATCAGATTGCCAGGTCTTTTCTCCCACAGAGCTGTTGGTGGATTTGAACCTTTCGTTAGCAGTGTAAGGGTTAAGCCATTGTGCTACTAGAGATCCTCGTACAATTTCAAAGAATCCATTTTTTTTAGCAAATGCCACCAGAGTTTCACCTAGACTGGTGTCATAGTGTTTAGTAAGTGTGTTGTCTTGAGGTTTTCTGATTATTTAAGGGATCTGGTGGCACGGTTCATAGCGCGTTGCACTGCTAATCAAAAGACTGTGCCTCTGGTGGTTTGGATCTACTGCTTCGCAGGGGAAAGGCAGAGAGTCTCTTCTGTTAAGATTTATAGCCTAGAAAGCTCATTGAATGTCATTTTGAGTTGGAATCTACTCAGTTGTAGTGATTTTGAGGTTGGTGTTAACTTGTTTGTTTCTGAAAGGATTCATCTAGTCATATCAAGGGTGTCTAAGAAATACCCATCTAAACGGAAATGTCAGGACATAATATTACTTTCTGGTGTGATTTCCTACTGAGTAATTTGTCCAGAGTAGCTTTACTCTGTCTCGGCTTTACTCATGGGCATATGCAGTCATGAGGTAATAATGACCTCTTTGTGACACAGTCAGTAATATATAAGGCCCAGACCTCAAGCATACCAAGCCTGGACTTATCGTGGGAGGAGAGGGATATTAATTTGAAATTGGATTTGCTGAAGCTGGTGTCTAACTTAAGCTAACAAAGGTAAAATAAGACACAAATTTTTGAGGGAATGATTTTTATTTTGTGTATCAAGATGATATTTCAAAATCTGGCTGTAGTTTTCTCCCTTTTAAACACAAGCTAAAGCAGTTATTCAATATCTAGTAGTCTATAATAGCTAAATGAAGAGAGATGTTTTATGCAGATATGTAAGTTTTTATAAAACTGCTGTTAAAGTGGTCCACATCAAACTCACCAACTAACTGCTCTTCAACAAGTAGATTTGATGATCTGCTTTTGTAAAGATTTATGACCTACCTTGGTAATCTGTGGAGTAATGCTACTCAGTTTTATAGGATCACTGTGAATCAACGTGACAGTGACAATGGTGCAGACAGATGTCTATGTTTTTAACCTTTTTTCTCTTTTCTGAGGGATAGCATACTTATAGAAGAGAACACACAATCTAAATATACTGTTGGTTTGAGTTTGCCATTTGAACTTTATTAAGCCAAGAGGTCAGACTTTGGAGGCAAAGAGTGGCTAAGAGAATATGCATTAGAGTCAAACAAATCTCAGTTCTCTGCTATTTGCAATATAATCTTGGAAAAAAATATTTCTCCTCTTAGCCTCAATATCTTCATAGGTGAAATAGACATAATTGTTATGACTACATTGCTGCAGGTGCCGTGGTTAAAGAGGTAGGCTGTTAAGTGCTCCGAACCCACCATCTGTTCCACAAGAGAAAGAGAAAACACAGTTTTAATGTCTGTGTCGTATATGTTATCTGGTTGGCAGAACATGTCACATGCCTGGATTCTGTAGGAAGCGAGCCAAAGTGTTGATACCGAATAGGAAATGATGGGAGCCATTGTGCAAACAGTGCCGATTTTCATTTTACCTTAAAAGGGGTAGATTAAGGACTGAGTAAATTTAGGGAGCATACATTTTTAGTAGATACTCCATACTTAGGACTTCCTTGAATCCTATCCAGAGCTCCCAAACTATACTGGGGAAAGAATATATTAAATCTCGTAATAATATATATACTCCAAGTTGATAAGTTAACTAGAGTAGCATATGGCATTGAAGTTAACTAGAGTAGTATACAGCATTGCTGAAGTGGATGATTGTGAGTTCACCTGGGTGTGGCAGTAAGTTATGAAATGAAAAGAAGGCTAGAAACTCAGGAGGTCAAAGCAGCAAGCAGCAGATTCAGGGAGAATAAAAGAAAGATATTGTGGGAAGAAGATTAAGATTAGCTAGAAATTTCAGTTTGCAGTAGAAAGGATCTACATAATGAGGGAATCTAAGATTAAGTAGAAAATATTTGAAGCTGAGAAATAGAACTGCTGAATCTAGGTTCATGGAAAAGTATGTATGTTGAGTGTTTTGGTTAGTTTCAAAGACTTTCTAGCTAACATTCCTTGCTTTTTTGAGTCAATGTGATGTCACAGAGGTGGATGAAATAAATAAAAGGTGGGTAGGAAAGCTGTGAACCATTTGTTAATGTCGTTGAACAAGGTGCTAGGTGGTCCAGGAGCATATCAAGCACTAAAGAAGAATAAAGATAATGAAATAATCTGATGCTACTGATATGTATGAGTCATAGACTTACATTTTTAAATTAGGAAAATGTCTTTATTCTCGTGTTTATTTACTTTAAAAAAGCTTAACTCTCACTGTTGCACATTTGTATTTTAGTTAAATCTGATATACTATAGATTAAAAAAAATCACTACCCAAGTTAATTTTTATTTTTTTGTGTGCTCAGGATAAATTTATTTACCACTTGGCTCCCGTCGAAAAATCACACGGCAGATTACAAAGCAGAACATCAAGGTCACAAAAGAAAAAATCTAAGTCACCTGAGAGAAGTAAATATTGCATAAATGCGAAAAACTACGAACAGCCTACAATTTCATCAAAATCGCACTCTCCATCTCCCTACACAAAAAGACGCATGTGTGAGCTCTCTGAAGACACCAGGCGGCGGCTGGCCCATTTAAACCTGGGACCCTATGAATTCAAAAAAGAAACAGATAAACCTCCATTTGTGATTAGACATGTATGTGTCCTCTAAAATATTCCCATTTATAAATCCTCAAATCTGTCTTTTCACTATAATATTACTCTGAACCTTCTTTTAACTTCTCTGGCTTGCCTTAATAATTCTTTTCCCAAAACTGTCTGTTAGCCTACCAATCTAAAATGGAAAATTACAATAAAAGAATTCTTTGTGATTCTTAAACAGAACAGAGATCAAACTCTATTATGAATGCCATGTTTAAATCCTCTAAGTACCCATTTCCCCTTTTTCTTATGCACTGGACTTTGTAATAACTTTACAAATTGAACTTGGTTATAATTGACATTAGTATCAAAATGGAAGAGTAGGATTTTAAAAGATCAGCTATTCTTAATGACAAAGAAGAGCCCTCTCCCATACCTTTTAGGAAATTATAATGAAATATATGATTCTTTTTGAAATTCTATCCCATGGGTGAGTTTCCTATAATGGATCTTTGAAGTAGATCAAGATTTGATAGGGATGGGAAGCCTTTTGAAAATTAAGAACATGAATTTAAAGGTAGCACGACTAAAATTATTCTACATAAAACCCTTCTTTGATAGTAAGTCTAGAGTTTGTCTCCACATGATAATCAAGTAGACTTTGGTTAACATTAACAGTCCATAATAAAAATATTTAATGGGATTTCTCAGGATCTTCATAGTTTCTTGAATATTTATCATTTTTTGACCTTAAAATCCAGTATTCTTTAACCAGAATCTTTCAGATTGATACAATAAATATATATTAGCTTTAAGAAATAATCTAAAATTCAAGTTTCTTATAGAAGTTTAACAATTTTTTAAATTATATATATGAAACTATTTTCTGATTCATTTTCCCCAAATTCCAAACTGGGTAGCTTTTGGAAGATCTGAAAGTTCAGATTTTCTTGTGTTTGTAATATCATTCCAAACAAATTTAGATGAACTGTATGCCACATTTTATTCCATCATTAAGCTTTGGCAAGAAGTTTATTATTTTTAAGTGAAAGTTCTTTTATTATAAAAGGAAAATTTATAATGTAGTATATAAATTGTAATAATGCATTGAGATTATTTTGATTATGTTTTTCTTATTTCTGCAGAATTGGGATTATAGGTTGGAGTCATAGTTGTTTGTGTGGACAATATCCAGATAATGTGACTTTCTTTGTGATGACAGCTTTAGAATGCCTCCAATTTAATGTGTGCCCACACTTATAAATTAAATGGGAAAGAAAGAGCATACTAAACTAATTTGAAGGAATAGAAACATTTTAATTAGAATGCATCTGCACAAAGACAACCAGGAATATTTTAGAGATTAGTCACATAAATATTTAGAAAAATAGACTGCACTTAAAATGTTTATTATCGTTTTTCATGTCAGTGTCTAAATGGAGTAATTCTTTTAGTGCTGGGTATAAATACCTTCACATTTTTATATTAAAAGGTTCCCCACCCCCCAGCTTTTTAATGAACAGAAATTTGGACTTCTAAGTGTTTAGTTAGAAAATTGCTCTTTTTATTCTATATGAAAGAGACATTTCCAATTATATGTGTAAACATTGAGATGCCTCCCCTCCCCCCTGCTATTCATGGTTTTTAAAAGCATTCACCAAATTGGTAACCTAAACAGTATTTTCCCCACTTCATACATGCATATGCTATAAAAATTAGCATTTTTATGAAAGCCATCTTATTTTTATGTACATGGTTTGAAAAAAAAATCTTAAAATAGGAATAATTTCAAGAAATCAACGTGTTTCCAAACAAACTGGTGCTACCGTCTTAGAAGTATTAAGTGGTACTATTTTCTGCACAATAGCATCGTTATTATTATTAAGGTAAAATTTACCATTTAATTATTTTAAAGCATGTAATTCAGTGACATTAGATGCATTCACATTGTTATTTAAATAGCACCACTATCTAGATTCCAGGATCTTTTTTTAAATTTCCTAAAAGGAAGCATAAGTGTTCTTTTTCAATGGCTCTTTTCCTAGTCGTTTGCAAGAACGCATCTTTCTGTCTCATTTTGGAAATTTCTTAAAAATGGAACCATACATTGTGTGGCCTTTTGTTTGTCTGTTTTTTGCATTTTGCTTCTGTTGCAATTGTAGTTTTCAATTGTCATAAATGTTTCTAGCTTGGTATATTATTGCTTTTTTATGGATAGGAAATATTCCAATACATAGATGCTAGTATATTTTGTTTATTCCTCTACATGGTCACTTGTGTCATTTTTACAGTTGAGCTATTGTGGCTGAATGCTGTTTTAAACACTGATGTGCAAGTATCTCTTTGTGCCCTGCTTTAAAGTCTTAGGGTATATACTTAGGGACAGAATTGATTACTTAAATGCTGATTGTATGCACTGTCAAACTTTTTTACCCTCATAATTTAGTCAAATCATGATTTTATTTTTAAATTAAAGTAATTATCTTAATTAGCTAGAACTCTTATGACAGATATATCAAAAATGGATGGATAGCTTTGAAGAAAAAGTCATTTTCTTGCTGTTTGGGAAGCCAAAGTAAAAATAAAGGATTTTAATTATGTATATTTCTCCTTTGTTGGCAGTTCTAGATGGTCCTTGGTTCTTAGTGATCCTCCTATTTCATCTGTCCTTTCCATTATCTGTTGGCCTCTATGTCTCATCTACTCTTTTTATAAATCAGATGTGTGATAGGTTTTTGACACGCCTTAATGACATAAAAAAACAACAACCCCTAGTTCTAAATTATTAAATCCATAGGAATAAGGGTTAGACATTCATGACATACTTAGGAGTCAAAATTCAAGACATCCTGTGGTTTAATATGGATCTCCCCAGTAACTAATAACATATCCCCTATCCCATTTGTATTCCTCATTTATGTATCTTTTTGGTAAAAAATCTCTTCACCTCCATTGCCTATTTTAAATTATGTAGTTTGTCTTTTTGTCATTGAGTTTGTAAGCATTTTTTATATATTTTGGAGATCTTTGTTATATATATAATTTCTAAATTTTTTCCAATTTGTTCCTCTATCCATTAGTGTCCTTTCATGCATTCAAGTTTTTATTTTATTGACTGTGCTCTCAAGTTTCCTGCAATTCATAGTGACACTATGAACAAAAACCCTGAACTAACCTCACTGTCTCCAACACAACCCTTTAACCCCAGGACTGTGTTAATCCATCTTGTCCATGTTCTTCCTGTCCTGCACTGACCTTCCATCTATGATGTCATTCTCCAAGGACTGGTCCCTCTTGGGATGCCCAAAGTATGTGAACCAGAGCTTCACAATCCTTGCCTCTAAGGAGTAACCAGGTTTTACCCTCTCCAAGACAGCCATGTTTGTTCTCTTGATCATCTATGGTATGTTCAATACTCTTCTCCAGCACCACAGCTCAAAGTCATCAATTTTTCCTCTGTCATCCTTAGTCATTGTCCTGCTCTTTCATGCATAACAAATAATTGCAAAGTGTCCAGCTCTCCCATGCATAGCAAATAATTGTGAACACTAGTCAGGATCAGGTGCACCTTGGTCTCCAGACTGACATTGTTCCTCTTCAGTACTGTACAGAGGTCCTTGACAGCAACCATTTCAAATATAAGTTGATTTCCTATTGCTGGTGCCAAGATAAAGTTAACAACTGGTGCTATCAGTTGACTCTGTGAGGATCTTTGTTTTCTTTATGTTTAGCATCAGTCTATACTGAACACTGCCTATCTTGACATTATGCAGCAAGTACTTCAGGTCCACTTCAGTTTCAGTCAGCAAGGTAATGTCATATGCATAATGCAGTTTGGTAATGAGTTTTTCCCTAATTCTGATGCCACTTGCCTCCTCCTTATAAAGTCCAGCTTCTCAAATTTTCTGTTTTGCATGTAGATTGAACTGGCAGCACCCTGATGGATGGAGAACAGTTGTTAACACTTCCAGCTTGCTTGGCTCGACAGTCAACACTCGTGGCACCAGTAGTCAGGAAATCAAAAGACAAATTATATTAGATAAATCTTTCTAGAGTACCGAGAAGCAATAATGTCAGTCTAGAGACTTAAGGTATGCCTAGTCTAGCAGAAAGCTGGACAATGAATAACTAAGGATGAAAGAAGAAGAATTGATGCCTTTGAGTTGTGCTGGAGAAAATTCTTGACTATACCATGGACTGCCAAGAAAACAAACTGTATTGGAGAGGGTGAAACCAAATTTCTCCTTAGAGGCTAGGATTTTGAAGCTCTGCCTCACATACTTTGGGCATGTGACCAGGAGAAACCGAAAGATGGAGAAGAATGACATGCTCAGAGGGGTGGAGAGACAGTGTAGGAGTGGAAGACCCCGGATGAGATAGATCGATATTAGGGCAATGGGGTAGGTGTGTCGTAGTCAGTGAGACTGGCTTAGGACAAGGCAGGCTTCAGAGCTTTTGTATATAGGATCACTATGAGTTGCAGGTGACTCAACAGCACATAACAACAACATATAAATTGAAAAGGTTTGGAGAAAGGATGCATCCCAGATACACTCCTTTCTTGATTTTGAACCATGCAGTATTTCCTTTCTCTGTTTGGACAACTGCTTCCTAGACCAACTATAGGTTTCACATGAGCCCAATCAAGTGCTTTGGAATTTCCCATTCTTCTTAAGGTTAACCACAATTTGTTATGATCCACATAGATAAATGCATAATCAATAAAACACAAATAGACCCTGTGCTTGTACTCTGCTTTCATCCAAGGTCCATCTGACATTGGCAGTGATGTACCTAGTACAACAGTCCCTTCTAAACCCAACTTGTATTTCTGGTAGTGCTCTATCGATGTACTCTTCCATTTATTTTTGGATAATCCTCAGCAGGATTATGCTTGTGTGTGATATTAGTGATGCTGTTTGATAATTTCCATGCTTTGTAGGATTGCCTTTTTTTTTTGGAATGGGAACAAATATGGATCTCTTTCAGTCAGTTGGCTAGGTAGTAATCCTCCAGATTTCTTGGCACAACCTGGTTGGTATGTCCAGGGCTGCAACTGATTGTTAAAATATATGAATTGATATTCCATCAATTCCTGGGGCTTTCCTTTTTGCTAATTCTTTCAGAGCAGTTTGAAGTTCCTCCTTCCTCACCATTGCTGCTTGTTCCTATGTTGTTTCATGAAATTCTTCTGTGAAATTCTTTTGTTACAATGACTCTTTGTACTGCCCCCCTCCTCACCCGCCCCGCTTTCTATCTTCTTTTGATTCTTCCTGCATCATTCAGTGGTCTGTCTGTAGTATCCTTATGTATTGCAACTTGAAGCTTGGATTTATTCTTAAGTTCCTCCAGCTTGAGAAATGCTGAGCGCATTTGGCCCTTTTGCACATTTTATTGTAATAATTTGCTTTGTCTTCTTGCACTGTCCTTTGAAATCTTCCTGCTTTTCCTCCTTTGATTTGGTTTCTCTGCACTCTACGCAATATTTAGGTTATCTTCCAACATCCATCTTGCTTTGTAATGACATTCTTGATATCCTCCCACAGCTCTTCATTCTGGTCCTCATTCATGAATGCTCAAGGCCTCAAACCTGAGATGGTTTTTATTTTTATTTTATTTTATTTTATTTTATTATTTTTGTGTGCGTGTACCGTCAAATTAGATCTGACTGGTACAGGAGGAGATTGTCCCTCCTTCCCCGGCAGAGCATCTGGTGGATTCGAACCGTGCGCCTCTGGGATTGTAGTTGGCAGCTCCTTGCCACTAGGCCACCAGAGCTCCCCTCTGAGATGGTTTTTAAATTCAAGTGGAATAGACTCAAGGTCAGATTTTGGTTCTTGTGGATTTGTTTTCATTTTTGTTAACTTCAGTTTGAACTTGTATCTGACTGGTCTGTTTCAAAAAGTCTTTTATCACCTTTTTCATCTTTGGTTAGGAAACTTGGTTGACTTGTTATCTTTCAGCTATAAATAATTCATTATGTCAAGTTGTAAATGGCTAAATTTGTTTTTGAGCTATGGCCAAGTTGATTGTTCTCTCTCTCTCTACTGTCCTTCTTCTTTTTTTAATCCCTTTAATGGAAAGCAAAGTAGGCAATGGTTAATGAACATTTCAACTGCTAATCTCTTCATTTTACAGTAAAAAAAATGCTTATTGAAATATTTCTAGTTTCCATTTCTATTTTATTTAAAATTAAATAGCAAAATATCTGACCAATCTCTTAATAAAATTCCTTGGAAAATGCTCACCTTTATAAGTACTCTAACATTTAAGCAATGATATGTGGTTTATGTACTCTAGATTGCTTGGTCTTTTTTCTTTCAGAGCCATTGAACAGAAAGATTGGGAATATGTAAGATCAAAATATTGATCTCCTGTTTCCTCTAGGTTGATCCCCCAAGTCCCAGGACTGATGTTTTATTTGGATCACCTGGCAGAGATTGTGAAAGAGATGGATGGTCTAGGATGCACAATGGTAAGCTAGACCTTATATGTCTTCACTGCTTTAGTTATTTCAGCTGCATTCAACCTCTACCTTGGCATTGATAAACCAAGAGAATCCTTGCTATATTATCAGATAATGTGGTGTTGCATAGCATTTTACAGCTTGTAGTATACCCATACTTATAAAAATAATACAACTTCTGTGTTACTATAGGTTTATCTCCCATTTTACATTAAAAATATTACATATTAGTAAGGGTTGGGGAGTCCATTAGTCCATCTGAGCCTGTGTTGTTGTTATGTGCCATTGACTCAAGTATGACTCAAGTGACCCTATGCACAACAGAATTGAACCTGTCGTATCCTGTGCCACCATCATCATCTCTGACATACTTGAACACATACAAGTCCACTTGGTTGAGCGTCTTTCTCTCTTCTGCTGACACTCCATCTTTCTAAGCATGATGACCTTCTCCAAAAAATATTCCCAAAAATGTGTGAGAGTAAGCTTTGTCATCTTTGCCTTCAAGAACCACTTTGGCTGCACTTTATCTAACATATTGACTCTTCTTTCGACCATGCATGGAATACTCAGTACTCGTCTCCAAAACCACAGCAATCTAAGAAGCAGTATTGACCATCTACTTCTGAATAGCAAACCCTATGAACAATATAGGAACATGGCTAGCTGACCCTGTGGATGAAGATCAAGTGAGCCTGTTGGTGAGGGTCAACTTGAAAAAAAGCAAAGATTCAGAGCTCCTAAGTATCAGATTAATCCAAGTGTAAATGATGACTTTGAAAAAATATAGCTTAATTTTTGTATTAGATGATAACTAGAGAAGTGTTTTGATAGTAAAAACACATTTAATATAGAAACTAAGCTCTAGTTTGTATAGAGAAACTAAGCTCTATTTTGTTAAGTTCCCCAGTAACGTAGAGCTCAGTGATTAGAGAGCTGGGTTCAAGTCCACCAGCTGCCTTGTGGAAGATGTGGAAGAAAGCTTTACAGCCTGGAGAATCCTATAGAGAGTCCTGCCCTATCCTATAAGGTTGCTTTCATTTGAAATAAACTTTCCCCCTGCATTTTGGAGAGTTCAAAACTAGTTGTCATGGCATTAATTTTAATATATTATTATCACATCCATTTGGGTAATAAATGCATTATCAGACTTTTTTTTCTATAATTATATTTTATTAATTTTCATAAACATTTACAGAGATTTTGGGTTTCCATTCAT